CTTTTGAATTACACATATTGATGAGAATCACAATAAGCAAATCAAAAATAATACCATGACTATTTTTATCATTATTGATAATATCAACACTAAAAGTAATACTAATAGTAACAGTAATAATAATAATAAGCACAGCCACAATGGTGATAATGACAATACCAGTAATATTAGTAACAGCAATAACTGAAACAATATCAAGCAACAACTGCACGCAGAATGAAGTATCAAATACTAGTAGAATAAGCTTTAATGTCACCTAACCTGCTGTCCACTTTCGACGATAAACTTCTTGAATGCGCGAACAATACGCTTCACGTGCGCTGAGATATGTGAATAAGAATCCACAGAATCGACGAATGAATTGGTTGTTGTTGATGAATGCTTTTTATTGAAACCAACATTGACATTGCCGTCGACATCATAACCAATCGCAAAATTATATGTGTTATAGCAAGATCGTGTCACATTACCATAACGAATCTTCAACATTAATTCATTCATTTCATTTAGCGATTCGCAAATCAACACAATCATTTTGACGATACAAAATTGACGAATTTCAGCTGGAAATTCTCCAAAATACCACATTAATCGTGAGAGAAAAATACTTCTAATGACTTTAGAAATACTTCAAAAAATTCCAAGGAACTGCTGCAATGCTAAGTACTTTCAAATCGTCCAAACGTTCAATTCCAGGGCTGATGAAAACTACACAAAAAGCAGAACAAACAACGATCAAACGATGAATCGGTAAGTGAATTTGAAAAGAGACGAACGAAGGAGAGAAATTTCTCAAATGTTCCAAATAAAAGAATATGAAATGTAGATACTGTTTCATTTCTCACTTAATCACTTTCAACAACAATTCTACTCCATCAAAGAACAACAGAAAGTTACCGGTTGCATGATTTGAGATGCTTTCAGATTTTGGGCATTTTCGATATTTGCGGCTGACATCTGATCTTGGAGAGCATTAAACAATTCCAATGAGCGATCACTTTTCAATTTCAGTTGTTCATCGTATTTAAGATGCGCTAAACTGAGTCTCTCTTCATTGATCAAATCATCGATCGCCTGTTCATACTCTGAATCCATTTCCATCTCAACGATTAAATTCTTCTTCTCATATTTCACTTCCTTCAGCACAACCGTGTCAACACCGNTTTTGTCTGCTTTTGTCTGCATATTGCAATGAAATAAGTGATATGAATTCTAATCCATTGAAATTGCTACAAAACTAATCCCAAAACTGGTTCAATCTACGCTATCTGATGATATTCCAAGTCTAGAGAAATTGATTTGTGGGACCATTTCTATGTGCTCCGTTCCAATGAGCTGACATTCTGCGAATGGCTAGCGACACGATAAATACACGTAAAGCAATACAATACAATCGGCTGGAAGTAATCAACGTAAAAATACCACGAGGAGAAAATGGGCGCAATCAATAGCGTGAATTCTATAATACCCATAAAAACGAAAACGAGAACAATAGCGATAACAATATTTATTTCAATGAAAAGAAAACAACAAATGAAGAAACGTTTGCATAAATTATGCTCAACAACAACAATGTGCTCAACAAATTATCTGCAACAGTCTCAACAATACAAAAGAAGAGAATAAAATTGAAAATTGAAATCCGAACATTGCCCAACCATAGGGAGCTACAGAAAATACAACGAGGATTGCTATGGAACAGTGGCTAAAAACCGATTCAGGTTTGGGACTCAACGGCAATTCTATATTTTCCAACAGTTTACGATGCTAAATTTGTGACTTCAGTTTCAAAACCAAAAATTTTTTTGCACTCAAAACGCATCAGTGCATTTACAGAAGCAATTGCGTTTGCAGTCTACATGCAACAACCACTGAATAACAACGAATCGAATAAATAGAGCGCAATTCTGATGTTTAATACTATCGATCCAGTTGAATGACCCATTCACAATGTTTTGTTTGTGGGAACATATCGACGGGTGTGATTGATGTCAGTCGAAACGCTTCACCAGCGTACTTCTTCGAACTTGGTCTGCACAAATCGGTCAGATTCTTCAGTGCCTGCGATGGCTCACACGACACAAATATCAGTCTTTTCAGTGATGCGAGCTGAAAATTGACGGGTGAATTCGTTATATACAATAAACGACTACTCAAATTTATGAATGAGTTTGATTTTTGGGAACCATTAACCAACCGTTCTACATCCAACGACGACTTTTTCATGGATTCCAGCACGCGGTGGATCCAATATGCCGATCACATTCGCCTCATTCAAATCCATCGATGACGGCAAATAGAGCGACAATCTACGAAACGCATCTTCAGCTTTTGCAGCCACGAAACGGCATCTGAAAAATGCTCTCAAAGAATGGGCGAATTGTTTAAACACAACAGCAAAACACGCTACATTTATGGTTCCATCTGTTTTCAATTAACCTTCTTGTTCACAATCGCAGTGTAAGTAGAAGTCGCAGGCATACTTTGGAGATAAAATGCAATCACGACTCCACATTCATTTCGCAAAATCTTCCGCACTAATTCACCACTGAATTCGTCTCCTATCATTTTGAATTCTTGAGAATTTTACAAATGATCCATTATAAAGGATCGCTGATACTTCTGCACAAAAAAGCAACAAGCGATATATTCCGACGTATGTAACGTAGATTAACTGCAATCGCAGAAGTTCATCACTACACTGCGCACAAATAAATTTTGCTGAATTAAAGTGTCAGCAAACTCACTCATTTTCTTTGAAATGATTCGTTTCAGCATTCACTTTGGCGTCTTCGACTGCCTCCGGAACCATCTCAATGCCCACCAAATAATGATTCGATAATCTATTCGATTTTCTCAATAAAGACATCAAACATAGGCCAATTGTGCCTGTTCCACAGCAAACGTCCAATAAAACTGTTGCTTGTGATGAGACAGCTGGTTTTCCTTCTTGTGATGCTTTATCACTCATCTGCAAAAAAAATCGCATACGACACCAGTTGCGTGTATTCTTAACTTAAAAATACAGATAATATAAGATGCAAAAAATTATTCTATATAATCGAAGACAGTCAAAGGAATCAAACAAAATCACCACTCACTTCAACATCACTCTCAGTTTTTGCTTTCTTCTTTGCAACCTCTTCACAAACGTCCGAATGCGCTTCTTCACAACCTCGTTTCTTGTCGTCTTCCTTAATTATAATCCGCCTCATTATCCTTCACAACCGAATCTCTCAATTGTAAAATTCAAATATCGCTCAAATATGAATGCCATCTCTTGATGGATATATTTTTAAAAAAACACAAATGAATAGAAGTGCTCACTGGAGCAGTTTCCATTAGCTGGGTAGTTGCGGACGAAGACGAGTCACCATCCACACTCTGTTCATTGTCTGAGGCTTTACTGTGAACATCAGCTTTCTTATCTGTAATCGCTTCATTCGATGAAGCAACTTTAGCCGTTTTCTCA